CAGCAGGAAAGAGAAGCAACACATGAATCATCTTCAAGCAGACGGGAGAACTGAGCACGGACCAGTTACGTTCCCCAGCACCTTCTTTATGCACTGGTACAGTTCTCCCCAGTTACGGTCTAACAGCTACTGGATTAGAAGGAAGCACAACACCATGTTCGGTTTCTAAAGACTGCTCAGAAATAGCCAGGTCACTCTGAGCCAAGAACGCAGATAACATGGGCAGTGAAGCAGAGACTGAACCCAGATCTTCCACAACACAAGCCAGTGCCTACAAAGCCACTCTGCCTCTGAGCTCTCTGCCCCCTCGGCTCCCACAGTCTCCACAGGTTAAGAGGAATGTACCCAAGAAAAACAAAAAAAAGGAAAAACGTACACTCGTCCGTAACCTCTTACTAGTTGCTCAACGCTTCACTGTAGAGACTGGCCACAAACCCCAAGTTCTCCCCCTTCTTTCCTAGCCATTTATCTCTGCTGCAGTCTCAACCCTGCAACAAGGTCTGTGTGAGCAACCAGCTCAGCTCTGCTCACTTCAGGATGGTTCTGATACCCTCCTATCTTAGGGCCGGAGGGTATCAAGATCACAGCACGAGAGCTGCCTCTCCCTCTGACGCACCTCTTTCTAGCTAAAAGTTCAGCTTTGTGATCTACTTCCAACTCCAGTTTAAACCATCTCTCACAATTCCCCCAAATCACAAAGTCAGTTCTCATCCCTCTGGGAACGCTGTCGCCTTTGGTGGTACGATCATAATCGAGAAATCTGCCTGTCACAGAAGCCACATTGCACCCTTCACTCCACAGTGGAAGAGGGATGCGGCAGCTGCTGCTGTTGTTGTTGGGGCTCAGCTCCTCCCAGGAGAGCCTTCCACGAGACCGTATCCTGCAAACGCAGCTCGTCACGTTTGCTGCTGGCACAACAGCCTCCATCTTCAGTTTACAGGGCATCAAGTACTGGAGCATTGTAAAATATCCCCTCACTTGTCATTGGGTTCAACTCTATCCTCTTGCAGCCAAGATCTGGGAAAGGACTAGGGAGGGCTCAGCTTCAGCAAAACAAAACTCCATATTTGAGGAGGGATTTCAGACACCTCCTACTGCCAACACACTGATGAAGGGGGGAGCATTCATCAGAACCAAAGGTCTCCACAACTTTCCCCTGAAAAATTCTGTATTCCTAACCTCCTCCTCCATCTCTTGTATTTGTAAGCAGGAGCAAATCCAGTATTTCTGCTCCTTCATTGAAAGACTATAACGTACAGGCTGCAAGTAAGCTTACCTTGGGTCCAGCTCTGGACATTTTCCGTTCAAGCCAAACTCCCCACTGCTGGAGGACTGTCAGGAGCTGTTACAAATAGCCAGGATCCAAGGCACCCTTTTTATAACGGGCTCATTTTAAACCAGACAGCCGCTTTGTCATGAGAATAGGATCCAAAAATTGAGTCAGTGATTCTGAGGCTATAGCCGGTTTCTAGAAAAGCAAACAGGATTATGGAATAAAGGAAGGCTTCGCCGTCCTCTCTTTGTTACCATTTGCTGAGTCAGAACACCAAAATTCTGCCAAACACACTCAAAACACCCCACCCCCGGCCAGGTCTTGGGGGATGGGGGAAGCATTTTGGCTGCGTTCTTCCTCTTAAGCACGTTAAACAAGAAGGCATCCTAGTCATCTCTAAAAAGGTCCATCCCTGTTTGCAAGGAAGAGGTTCAGTATTAATAGAGAATGTTCCCGTGCAATGAAGGACGCAGCTAGGAAATGGTGAATACATGCTTGGGGCAGATCTGAAGGCTTGCAAAGAACAACTTCTGCTTAGATGCTCTGCTTCAAAAGCTCACAACGGAAACATCGGTGCAGCAAAGATGCTGTGCATTTTCACAGCACATCCTCAGCTGAGCTATATTGCTCCTCATGGTGGCTGACATACAGGGAAAAAAAGCATTTCTGCCTTCCCCACACACATCCCCAAGCTGAGTGATTTCAGACATGAAATAATAGAGAATGCGCCCAAATTTCTGACAAAAATCTGCCAGCGCCACGAATTCAATTCCAAATCCTTAAAGCAATGTCTGCAGTTTAAGAGAGAGATCCTTCTTTTAGCCACACTCTGGCCCACTGGGCAAGGAGGGGGAGGAATGCTGCCTTTTGTACATCCATGCCCCCCCGAAGCCAGCGCATCCCGAAAAAACGCCTCTGCAGCTATTCAATGCACCAGCCCAAAGGCTTAGGGAAACAAAGGCAAACGAATCTGGCACAGCAGCGCCTGAAACATACAGACCTTATTTTAAATCTGTCAGGACAGGCAATCTCGCAACAACAACTCTATGTACGCTGCTGCAATTCCACTGACTGCAGCTTCCTACAACATTTAGATATGACCAGAGACAGAAAGAAGCTCAACAGCATCTCGTTTCCTTCCACTTCTAGGTGTCTTGAACATCTAGCGCTGTTGGTCAAAGCCCTTACTGCTAGAGGGCTGGGAGACCACTCATATTTATCGGAATGCTCTCTTATACGGATCACAGAGCCCAGTCAGGACCTAACTCCTATTGAAAGACGACTCAGTAGGTTCAGTAGGAAGGACATTTCCAAGCTCCATTGTGGTCACTTTGCATGTCACTCCTTTAAAAGCTGGTTAAAAATATCCAGGTCAGTCTCTTGATTCCTAACCTACGCCTATGGCAGTGGGTCAGCCCAGGAAGAATCTGCCATCTCCTCTAAATGTTTGAGACACTTTCCAAGCCCAAAGGATGTATTATCAGGTGAAATTTGTACAATTGTTATATTCATTAAAAAGCACTCAAACAGAAATTGTGCATTTCATTAATGAAAACTAGGTGGTTTTGACAGCACTGCAAGCTACAAGTGAAAGCCCAAATCTATTTAAAGACAGCACCGTTATCATAAAAAGCATTCAAACATTATCAAGCAGCATCTGCAACTAGAGCTGAGGAACTACTGCACCACGCTATACACAAACACCCATTCCAGCACATGGATGAAATGTAAATACTTAAATATAAAAGTCACCTAGTCTTGCCTAATGTCCTAAGATTAAACCAAACAATTTTATATAGTGTTAAAAACCCAGGTGGAACCAGAACTAACATCGGCTCCCGAGCCAATAAAAATATAATTTTAGAAAGCATACAATGTTATAAAATTTGTACGCCAGAGTACTGAATCCCACTGTTTTCCTCCTACTCTCAATTTGGATAGCTCTTCACAAGTCACATGCAGCTGCTGTGTTCAGTCATCCACGCAATGCCGTTGCCTTTTTTTGCCTTGCTAACTGAGGTGCTTTGCAATGAGCATGTCTCTCCAAGACAGGTACTACTAGCACAAAATGAGAAAAGGACTCACATTCTTTACAAGAAATATTAATTATTTAAAGATAGGCAACACAGTTTATATCAAAGTGCTGTGCTAGGACATCCTTCAAAACCTTCAGCTCCACTGCTGTTAAGGAATTAGCACTTTTCTCTCAGCTGACAGGTTCACATTTCATTAAAGCAATGAAGACACTAGGGCTCTTTAACAACCAGAGCAAATGTAAAACCCTTTCCCTAGAACATGTGCCAGGCTTATCTGAGAACACTTATTGACATTTGTCAAAACAAAGCAAACTTATAAGAAAGGTAATTCTATAAAATCTAAGTGCCATCTTCATATTTAAAAAAAAAACTATTGAATTTCATTCATAAAAAAACTAAACATTTGTTTTTCACATTTATAGAAACAGTGCAGCTGTCTTGTACCATAAAGCTGCAAGTGACAGCCAGAAAACCTACGTCCAGCTTTACACCAGGCAGAGCTCCTTTGCTGGATACGTGCACACCACGGACACTGACCAGGAGTGCCTCCCAGTTACAGGACCTGCAACAAGGGGGAAGCATACTTGTTCATCACCATCTATTAACACGCGCTTTCTCAGTTATCAGTGGAATAGCTATAGCACGTTCCTGGGAAAGCAGAAGTGATTAAAAATCCTAAACCAGACAAACAGTCCAATCCATGCTGAGGCTGGGCATCAAATCCACATCAAGGGTTTTCAGCTAGGACGGCCGCGAAGCATGAACGAGAACGATTTCAGGATATCACCGTCTGTTCCCAGAACTCTGTAACAAAGCAGAGGAGCAAGTTTTAATCCCGCCAGCAAAGTCAATAACTAGCTAGGACTATACTTCAAAGACTGTAATTCTAAGACTACGGATAAAGGCTTTCTAATAGTTTGAAGCATGCAATGGCAGAACAGTACGATAAGGGCTTAGCCCTGGTTCCTAAACTCCTCCTCCTTGGGAAGAGAGGAAGACTACATACTAAGAATTATGTGAAGCCTCACTTAATTCTCTTCTTAAGCAAAAAGAGACAGGTAAGTACGGACATCAATACACAGCTTCTTCAAAAGCACAGCCATGCAAATAAGATTTGACATCAGATTATATACAACATGCCTGCCTGCTTTTGCAGTCACACACAGATCTCCTCAACAAATCTAACGGAACATGTCAGAGAACAGAGAAGCCGGAGTACACAGAGAACAGATTCAACTTAAGCAAAGGGTTTTGACTCCAAAACATGAACTAAAACCCAACACGAGGCTCTTGGGAAGATGTCCACTGAACAGTTTCAGACCTCCTCCTCTGGATGGGCTGGGCACACAAACATGGGACAATTCTTCTAGATATAGAAGAAACGAGAAACAGGCTCCTTACTCACCCTTCCTCTCCTTTTGCAGTACAGCAACATGACGCTATCCTGCTGCCTGTTTGGAGCCTACTGCAGGAGGGACCAGGCTATCCAGCTGCTGACGATTCCCTGTTTGCACCAGCCATTCGTAGAATTTGTTTTCCACCAGCATCTGGAACTGTTTCCTCTGATGCCTGAAACCCAGAAGACTATCAGCAGGGAAGCATGCAAAGGTCACATTTATCGAAAGAGTATTACACTTCTAAACCTCTCTGCTTGACTACCAAAACAAGCCTCGGTACAGATCAGCTAAGTAACTGGGTTTTGTTCATGAACTGCTTGTACCAGGAAGGGAAGGTTTTTATCAAGTGAATGTGACTATAACTGCCCCAAAAGGCACAGCTTACTAGAGGTAAAAAAGTCATGCATATGTAGAAAAGTTAGAAAAAGGTAGAAAAGTTATGGCAGCGTACGTAAGAGAGAGGACGAAGATGAGGAAATGAATGTGCATATAGGCGACGCTCCTCAAATAATTCTCAATATTGATATTTAGTATGTCTTTGGTAACACCATTTAGCTGAGTCTTTCTGAGACCGGTCAGATGACCGAATAAGAGCAAAGCAAGCTCATGGCAGTATTTTTCTGGGACAGCATCCCAGCCATTACTGGGTTCAGCTCAGTTTCTCGAGCCAAAGGTGGCGTAAGCGTTTAGGAGTTCCTGATGAACTTTCTCTGAATTTACACATTTCCCTTCTGAGCCCATGTAAAACATAAAAATTTTTAATATCCTGTGGAGATTTTATATGTTGAAGTAGCTGTTTGCTTTGCACACAGCCCTGATTTGATGCTCCTATTCTGTATTGGAAAAAGCAGCACACCACCCCTACTCATTTTTGTGCCACCCAGTTTCAGAGGAGCGCAGCACACGCACACACTTTTTTCACGTTAAAGACTCCACGTCTATTTAATCAGGGTTCACACGAGAGCTCTCCCGTGCTTTGATAATCCTTGTTGCTTTTTTGAATTCTGCTTCTAAAATATCCTGAAACGGAGAGGGGAGGGGAAGAACTGCACAAAACACTCAAGACAGGACAACAATTCCTGCAGCAGCATTATGGTGTTTTTGGATTGTTTTTTATTCCTTTTCCTAACCAGCCCTAAAGTCCAGTTTGCTTTTCTGACTAATAAAGTACTGCTGTGTTCACAGAATTATCTGTTACAAGTATAAGATTTCTTTTTCATAGGGTAACAGCTGGTTCACTTTGCATATGAAAATAAAATTGTTTCCCTCCATCCGTATATGCATCACTCTACATTTATCTACCTTGGATTTCATCTGCCATTTTATTGCCTGGTCTCAATACCGTGAGGCCTCTGTAATTCTTCCTAATCAGCTTTTGGTTTTAGTACCTCAATAACTTAGCAGCGTCAGTGAAATTTTTCATTTCTATTCTTCCACTTTCCTGATCGTTTACAAATACAGAAGACAGCACAGGTCCCAGCAGACCCCCTTGTCCAGTTGCGACGTTAGAAACTGTAAAAGAAAACTTGGGTCTCCCAAAAGCCTTTTAGAAATCCAAAAGGATTATATTTCCTGGACTGGTTTTCCATATTTATCTGCCGATTTCAATGATTTCTGCTAGATTTCAGAGACATGACTTCCCTTTACAAAAGGCAGGTTGACTTTCCTGTGGTCTATTACCCACCCATGTGATCAGTAATTGTATTTCCTATTGTCCTTCAACCATTAGCGTGATATAGACATCAGATTTGCAAGCCTGTACCTGCCCAGACACCCCCAGATTCCTCTGTAAAGGCTGGAAAGTAATAAACGTGGTGCTGGCCCTCTAGTAACAATGCAATTTAAGGAAGAGATTGCAAACTACAATTAAACGGTTATTTCACTCTCAAGCTCTTTTGCCACGTTGTGGTAAATAACATTTGCACTGGATTATTGTGTCAATTTGTTCTTGCACTACCCCTTCCATTTGAGATATTCACTAACACATCCCCATAAAGAAGGGTTTTAGGATGGGAACTACCCTAAATTCCTCCCTAGTGAACGCGAACACAGTCACTTATTTTTTCTCCAATAGTTTTATCTACTTCAAGGGTTCATAATATACCTTGTTTCTTCTACTGATCCTGCAAGACTTTGTCTGACATTTATATATATATAAAAAACAGGGCTTTATGCTTTTGGAAGTTGTTCCTCAAGCTCTCTTACTGGTCCTGCCTTACAGTGTTTTTTACATTTAGCCTGGCAGGGTTTACATTCTTCCCCCTCTCCCCCCTTTTTTTTCATTCAGGTAACTTCAACTTTTGGAAAGATGTCTTCTCACGTCCAGTCTCTTTCACCTCACTGGTCAAGCATGGCAGTTTCCTTTTCTTTCTAGGGGTCCTCTCAAAGCACTTGTTCTCTGAACAGGTGGTATGATGTTTGCTCTAAGCTTCCCAGCTGTCTCTCTAATTGCCTGCAGGGGAGGCTAAAGTATTTTTATTTTACTGTCAGCTGCCCACTGCCAGCTTCTACGCTTTACGTAGTTCTCCTCCTTTTAAGAAATAAACCACTTCAGCACTGAGCTCTTCGCTCCTGTGACTGCTGGAGAGGATGTTAAATCTAAGCACAGCATCACTATTACCAAACATTAACAGTAAGATCTTGACAGGAGAAACACCTTTGCAAAACTCTGAGGTGAAAAGCAGCAGCCTCGGGGTAGAGGACAATGGCTGGAGAAGCAAGAAGCACCTCAAACGAGGTTGAGGGACGAGGCAGATGATTCTAGTACAAGGGCTGAGTTTACAACTTTCCTCTCTGCTGCCCTTCAGGACTCAAGGACAGAGAGTTGTGAAGGCGTTTACACCTCTGCCACCACCGCGACTGGATCGCTACTGCTCAGCCATCCACCACCTACATGGAAATCCTGCCCCAGAACCCTTTCTTTCTTATGGCCGAGTGCTCTTCCAAACAGCAGGCTCCTCCACTCTTGGCACAGAGTTCTGGAGTTCTGAAAGGAATATGGGAAGCTGAGGGAGCTACTCCAAAACAAGGAAAGACTAAATGGACTAGAACTCCTCAGCTTGATATGACAGGCAGTGTTGACAATTTGACCCAATAGGAGGTTCTCATCTTCTGTGTGTCCCACAAGAGAAACTCCGCTGAGACCACTGCTTATCAGCACCCGGATGCACACCCATTACAAGTCATTAACTGAGGACAGAACAGGAAAAAAAGTACATACAGCTCAGAGAGCGCTTAAGGGACACAAGTTGTTTTGATCTCTTCAGGTCTTTAAAACTGAATATTTGGGTTTCTATCCCCATTCTGTATTTGTGAAGGAGGCCAGGTACTTTAGGGTGCTGCATAAAAACGGTTATCAAAAATTAAAAGCCACTACATCTGAAGTGGTCAGTAGCTGGAGATTTGTAATCTAGCTGGCCTCAGAAGAAAGCACGTCAAAAAAGAGAAAGCAAGGTGAACTTTTTCAGAACTCTGCGTAAGTGCTGAGAAAGCACACAGATGCATATCAGACATGATATGAGCCTTTTCAGAACTCTGCATAGGTGCTGAGAAAGCAAACAGATGCATATCAGACATGATATGAGCTAGGATAGGCCTAGTTAGTACACTGAAAACTGGGCAGAAGAGTCAACGTGATCCGGAAAAGAGGACTTTAAAAGCTACGGTCCATAAGGTGATCTGCTGTAACAGTCCACATGCATACTCTTAACTCACCTGAACAACATCTGGACTTGTTTAATTAAAGTAATTAAGTAATTTAAAGCTTCAATCTGAACATAAAGGTTGGGCTAAGAAAAATCTCTGGACAATAATTTGTTGAGCTGTTCTTCACAGTATAGGCCCAGATCTCATCCACATCAGCATGCAACGCTGTAAGCAGGCCGCAGACGGCAGAGGTAAGTACCCAACGTGAGATAAGCTGCAAGCTCTTACTACCAGAATGGATTCCTCACCTCACCCCCCGGAAGCATATGCACTTGCTGTTTTTTGTGTTTTGCAATTTGGAAAATACAGTCATGACAAAGCCCTTCTTTCAGAGTTGCAGTTCTGAACATTATTACTTTTCTATAATACCAAAGATCAGGACACCAGGATTACTGATTCCCAGTAGTCTAGAAACAGCACGCAAGACAGCTCACACCAACCAGCCCGTTTCTAAGGCATTTTTGTTGAACCACATCAAATGAAATTGCTGTTTGCATGGCTGAGCTGAGCTTCAACACAACTCACACATTCCACTCCTGCCAGGATGCAACACTCACTTGGTCAGGCCTGCCTCCTTCACAGTTTTCTGCCAGATCTGTACCTTCTGCTCTCGCTGACTCAGTGCCTTCTGATACGCGTGGGGCAGTCCGCCCGGCGTTTCCGTTGTGTCTCCTTCCATTTCGAAAGGAATTACAAAGGTGTAGAACTCCGAGGGTGGCAGGAGGCGGAAGATGCTTGTGTCACTGCTCTCTTTGCACACCAGCATGGGACTGTCCCAGTAGTTCGGCAGAGTGGCCAGGCCCACCTGAGCCATGTGGTCTTCAAGCATTGGATAATGGGTGTGGAAAGGAGCGAAGCTGACTGCTTGGTTACCCGAGAGGATGAGAGGTTGGGTAGGTGTAAGAATGTAGAAAGTACAGCCAGTGGTGGAAGAGAGAGACAAACGATGGCAAACAGAAATGACCTTGACATTGTCACAGCTGTGGACGTGAACAGATGTCTGCACAGGGCCGAGGACAAAAGTGCTATTCCGGCACTTCTCAATGGTCACAGATCTGTAACAGAGCAAGAGAAGACACAGTGAGCCAGAAAGTCCGAAACCCAGACTCTTCTAACAAGTAAGCACATCTCAAACAGACCTGCTAAATGACATTTAGCTGTGCCTCAGGAAAACAAAAACTCACCGGAGAGGAGAGAGGAGATAAATGAAAGACTCGTTGCAGCGATGAATTCTTACATGAGCCCCCACCAAGGTGTCTGAGCTCTTGGCCAACGTCTGTTTGTACACCTGGCTCATTATCACCATGGGAAACACCTCAGGGACCACATGAGTATTGCAAGCAATCTTGGCTCTTCTGGTTGTTCCTTCAACTGCAAAATAAGTTAATCAAGACACTGAGAAAGAATATGATGGTTCACATCATTTCAAATGGCACAAGAAAAGCACACAAAATCAGCCCCAAACTTCAAGGACGGCACTGTCCAACTGTGTCACTTCATGCACCGGTCACACTACCACTAACAACTCCTGGGCAGGAAGGCAGTACACAGCAGTCAGCAGCTCTAGAAGTCATGGTACATCCAAAGAATCAAAAGCCCTTCAGAATTATTCATGGGAAGCCAGAGTCTCCCAGAAACTACCAGATGGACGGACCTGGTCTAGGCATCTCAATTTCCAGAGTTTGTTCCTGCACAGAAGGATCTTCCTGCCAGACAAAGACTCAGGGCAAGTCTTTAGCACTACATTGAAAGTGCAGATCACACATTTTAAGACATACTAAACCAATGAAATGCTCCTTCTACAGACAACCCTTGAGCAGCTTTGCTGTCCCATCTCACATTGCCCATCTTACATCTTACTAGTGTGCAGTCAGAGCAAACAAAACATTAATCTTATTTTTTTTTCCTCTAAGGTGAAAGATGTCCGGCTCCACTGCAATGTCTTTGCGGGCATGGGATGAGTCCATTCAAAGAGATCCAGATCAGTTCTCAGCTTTGCCACAACCACCCAAGCCTCCACAGACAAATCACATGTTCTATTCTTCGCCTCCAGTGGTACCTGAAAGATGAGGATAGTAATACCAATCTCCCTCAGAAGAGCATGTGAAAATAAAGTCATTGACATTTGCTCATAAAAGTGATCAAAGAACCAGAAAGATGCAAATACGTGTCATACGGCACCCTCTAGTTCCTCCCAGACTCGCCTCTAAGCTGTTACCTTCCCCATCTCCACTGTCAGCTGGAGGAAAAGGAGGTAAATCCACACTCCACTGCCAGATCCTTGCTCAGGACAAGGAGCTGAGGCTGAAAGTTACCTCTGGAAGTAAAGGCAAGGCCTACAGATACCTTGCTGCGCCCAGGCAAGCTTCTTCCCAGACTTGAGGCACGCAGTCATTCCAAAGGGGTTTGTTGTCAGGCAAGACCTTATCCAACTCTCTAGCTTGGTGAAAGAGAAGGCTTTGGAGATCTTCGAGTAGCCATTTTTCCCATGAAAGGGCTGCCAGAGGGCAAGCTCATGCAGAGGATGGACAGTTCTAGATTTGTTCACAGTCCCTTCAATAAGAAAGCTGAGGGCACGAACAGCTTCATAAGAGACCAAACTACTGTGAGCAGAATGGGAAGAGGCAGTGAGCTGGTCTGGCTCCAGCAGCAGTTCCAGCATATCCGAGAGGTGGCTCTGCACAAAGGCCTGGTGGTCTTGATCGTTCCAGTTCTTAGAAGGCAGAAAAACAAACAAGAACGAGGTGAGCTCTCACAAAGCGGACAGGCTTCATCAACATTATACAAGACATCCCTGCTTACACTAGAATCACAGTAGTTCTAAAAGAAGGAATTCAAGTGGAACACGGTGTTCTCTCTTTCTGCCCACCGCTTCTGTTGGTCTGCTCTTCCAAAACATGCATAAGAAACTGGATCCATCCAGCAACCCTCGAAACCAGAAAACTGTTTTATTCCAATTCCAGGTACTAAACATTTCACTCTAAAGAGCCAAAACAGGAAACAGATTCCCCTACAATCCTTCCCGCACAATTGCGGCCAGACAGCGCTGGCAAGTGAAGGTTGGAAACAAATCAATAACTGACAGTCAGGGTCTTGCAACTGCTCTGTTGGAAGCTCACTGCATCTCTTTCAGACCTTCAGATATGACAAAGTACCTCCTTCAGAGGAGCTGCAGGGAAAAACAGAGGGTCATTTCTTCAGAGGTGAGCGCGCTAATAAACTAAACAGCCTCTGGAAGAATCGTTAGCTCCAATTTTAAAAGGCTCCATACCAAAAAAGAGTGGGAGACTGGAATTATGGCAGCCATCAACAAAGGCAACTTTTGCTGGCCTGCAAACTGCAGAACAAGTAACGCCAGCTACGATCATACATTCTCCTCACCCACCGATAAGGGCTGCAGTTAAAAGGCAGCAACAAGCAGCGTTGGACAGCGTCTTGCCACAGGCTGACAGAGAGCAGCTCACACTGGATAAGCCTCACCAAACCATTTCAAAGGGGCTAATTTCTCGCAGTGCTCATATCAGGGATCACTGAAACTAGAGGCATCTCTTCCTATCTCACAAGAAAAAGTAATGCCAGTGGAGACAGTCCCCCACACCATCAGGATCAAAACGTTTAGCATGGCTACCCTGACAGCCAGGATGCACCTATTTTTTGTTCATCTGACAGTCAAACTTGAACAGCGATTAAAAGAAAGCATCAACTTCCAAAAGATGTTGGATGCCACCCTGGAGCCTGCAGCTCACAGCTTTACATTAGTTATTCTCATCTCTTTTTCATGTGTTAAGTCTTTTAGTTTAAAGCTACCCGGTCCCTCCTTTTAATCATTTCAGCTTGTCCCAAATTACAGTTCACTGGGTCATATGGCTCCTCATGTCATAGCCAGGACAGAAGCCTGCTGAAGTTTGCACCTGGCCTTTATAACGTTGTTGGCAATTTGTAATTCACTCTCAAATACAGAGCAGACCATGAACTGCAGCTGACGTATCCAGCTTACTTCTCCTATTTAGGAACACTTGATGTGGGACATCATCATCTTCACGTGACGGATCTACAGTTGACCAGCCACTCCATCTCTCTGCAATACAACTTAATGACATTTTCCTAAACACCGCTTTGGAATTCTAATAATTTAACGCAGATCGTGGGAAAGCAGCCTTCAACGTAAGAAAAGCCTCCTGCTTGGCTGGCTACACCCCTCTAACAGAAAAACCAAAGAAGCTGTTGCTGCTTAGAAGGAGAATTAGGAAGACTCAGAAAAAATTTTCAGTTAGTCTCAGACCACAGGAAATTTCAGCAGGCAAGTGTCACCGTTTCATAAGTTAAAGCGATAGAGAACATATCGGTTTCATCTCATTTACCGTGCTGAGACGTAGCTCAAATTTGACTTGCAGAAATGCTTCAGGCAGGGTACGCTCTCCCAGCAACAAACGGGATGCTCTTCAGCCCGCCTCCAGGGGAGGCGGCCGTTTTCTCACGGAGCAACCTCAGGAGACCCCCCACGCCCCCAAATACCTTATTTTGACTGGCAGACTTCCCAGTCAGGTCGGGAGACTTGGTCCTGGGGCTGGGCCACTCCTCGCCGATCAGGGACGTTCTCAGAGAAACCTTGTTCAGTTGCTGGATGTACAAAAACAGCAGGAACTGCAGGGTGTCTACTGACAACTACCCAAGGAGGAGGGGGGGAGGGAGAAACAAAACACAGGTTAAGAGGCGCTGCCCGTCACCCACGACCGCCCGGCCCGGCCCGGGGAGGGGGCTGGGAGAGGGGACCCCCCCTGCCTTGCTGCGCTGCCGCTCCAGCTGGTCGGCGCTGGCGCAGGGCGCCCCCGCCCCGGGCCGCCGGC